TTTTTTTTCATCTTCTGATTCATCGATTTTCACAAAAGTGATACTTACAAATGACAAGAGATACGGGGAAATTTTGTTTCCTGAGTTGAAATAGTAAGCTTTTCGAGGAATATTTCAGGTGACTTAGGTTCCAAATTGGATCGCCATGCGAACATCGGCAAAGGCAAACTGAAACTGGCTGCATTTCGTAATCTGATCGCTGATCCACGTTTTGATGGCCTTCCAATGATCCTGGAAACACCGGAAGGCGACTACGCCGAGGAATTGATTCGCCTGTATCGATCGCTGGAAACCAAGCCGTTGAAAACGCGAAAAGATATCAAATCATTTTTTTCGCCTCTCCCGGCCACATCCTGAGTTGATCCTCATATGTTACTTGCAATTCTGTACCTGAAAATACCGCAGTATTTTTCCTTTGTTGACTTTAAGTGCATTCACATAAAATAATCTGTTCACTAAAAAAAAGTTTTTATCTAAGAATTGATTGTGGCGTTAAAAGAACAACGGTGGGCAACTGTTTTGAGCATATGCATTATAAGAAGCCAGGCAAATCTGTCTTTGGTATTTCATAAAACGGCAGCTACTAAAACTCGATTCGGTATGGCCAACTCGGCAAGCGGATTGCAGTGATTACGGGGTGAAGAGTGTGAAGCCAGGCGGAGGGAAGGCGTTAGGGGAGGGGAGGGAGGGGGAGAGTTGAAGGCGAACAAGAGGAGTAGACGTCGGGGATATCGTCTAGGTTACCAAGTGGTAGCGAGGGAAGCTAGAAGGCTCGGGCCTCTGCGTGGCTTTCACGTAGAAAGGACGTTTCCTGAGAGCCGGTCTGAAATTCTTTTAGCCAAAAGCATCTGCCGGAAAAAACTGTGCTGTTCGGGGCCTCAATAAGTCGAGCAGCACAAAATGGATGATGCAGAACAGCAGCAAAACACCCTCCAAAGCTATATAACGCTTTTCGCATACGCTATTCCTCGAAAAATGCACTCTCGCAATGAAAGGGAGAGGACGGGGCTATTGGATGGGAAGGAGCTGAGGTTGTGCTTGAAGGTAGAATCTGAAAACAGGGAACGCGGTTTACGAGCGAGGGCGTCTTAACGGGTTTTTCATGTTCAGACAGGAATTTGATGCTAGGAGGGAGTTATCAATCTTGAGTGCGACGCTTTGAATTTTACGACGACAAAAAAGCTCAACACGACGGTTTTCGCAGCTTGAATCGAACCCAAATGCGTATAAAATCGAGTGGTGTGTTGTGTGGTCGAGCCGAAGCAAGTTTTAGCAGTTAGCTTAAAAAATTGGATTATTGAATGGCGCGCATGCATGCAGAGAATTATAGCCAGCAAGGTGGTTGGTTCGTTTGAATGGTTATATGGGACCAACTTAAAGAGGAATGAAGAAATTATCAGTTGCATTAATGAGCAGACAGAGTATGCGACGTTGAAACAACAACAGTTGATCAAAATTTTTAATCACCTTCTCACTGTTTTATTTGTTTCAAGTGTTTTGATACTTGTATTGAACACGAAATATTTTTTCGGAAGAAATCTCTGTAGCATAAGCTGTAAGCGTTGCGGCAATTGCACCACAGCTGCTTCTCGAATATCATCTTGTAACAGGAAAATCGTAGCGAGAATTGCCAATGGATTTAAATTGCTGCTAATTGTGCCGTACAATGTTACGAACTCCAGGCCTTCCACTTCGTAACGCCTGCAGATGTAACGTGCAGCCATCGGAAGAACGTGTAGAAATATTGTAAGTATACAGGAAATGAACATCGTCCTCGTCAGTATCAGTTGTCTTCGTTCGAATGTTGCCGCTGCTGATAAATTCTGTAAAATTTCGCTTCAGGTGAACGAATACGCTAGCACAGGAAAATTCATGATACAAATGTTACAAAAGAAACAAAGTGTTAAAAGCAAGGAAACGAAGCTGCCGGCTAAACCCATTCGCCCTGCCCAGTTGGTCTCTTCGATTCCAATGTGATATGCAAATGTCTCGTCTCCTGACTCATGTCCCCGCTCCGTAATATGTAAGGATGTGATTAGAAATGAAGTGGTGATTATTTCTGGGTGTGTCTTTGTTTTTTTTTTTTTTTTGTGTAAGGCACTGTTTATTGGTCTGGGCAAGCATTCCCCGCAGTCCCACAGCCACACCCCGTACAACCGCGTAAGCGTTCGGCCTTCCTTCACGCGTTACACATATACGGGACAGCTGATCTCTATGTATTATAAGTTCGACACATTATCTATACTGTATGTAATTTCGTAAATACAAGTACATCGAAGTTTTAATGAGACTCGAGCCAAAAAAAAATGGTT